AGCTAAATCCATACTGTGGMCGTTTTATGATTAATTTCACACCTACTGGAATTTAATTAAACAACTTTCCGATTCCTGTCTTTCCTCTTAAGCCACTACTTGTATTCACTTATCTTATTTAGTATATACGATTATCTTGACTTCTACAGGACTTCTCACATCTTTTTAAGGATTTTAAACTATTTAAGAGACTAAACTTTCGAAATTTCCCTCTTTATCCTATAATCGTTATCCCCTCCAAAATGATATCTTATTGACAGCAAAATATTGACACCAGTGCGCAGTCCCAACAACTAAGCATGCGCGCATTAAACGGCAACAACAATGCARTGACTGCAGAGCCAGAGCAACCGCGGTTGGAATGTGCAGAGCATTTTAATGGCGTGTTTGATTAGCGCGACAGTTTCACGCAATGAATGCGAATTGGACAGCAATTTAAGTCACCACTCTCATCGCCACCACTAGGCTCTTGGCAAGTCCAAGCCTAACTTCGTGTCGGCAATTGACAGCTGTGTTGGAAACGTGATGGAGCCAAGCGTCCTCAAACTCGTTGCAGCTTTAAAGCAGCCTTTCCCACCAATGCTCCCACTACACTTGCCACCTCTCTGTCGCCTGTCAGTTGCCGGTTCTCGGTGTGTTGCATGTCTTGGCCCAGCACAGGCCGCTGGAAACCGGCGACAGATAAGGATCGTGTTCGACACCATGTATTATAGGCAGTTCGTGTGCATGTTCGTGTCGTTACCTCTGCCACCGTCATGCTACAGCCTGAACGCATTGTTGGCCGCCGTTGTTATTGTTATTGTTTGTGTGAGGCTTTAAAAAGTTTTATTTATGGTTTTGCATGGCATCGTTGACTTGTTAAATGGGTGTTCCCTTTATTTACCACTCTTGTATCCCCCTACAATGCACCCATTAACACGGCGGACCCAGCACACTCCACATTCGAGCGAAGACCATGCGAGTACTTACGGTCTTTTATGTTCTACAACCTTTATTCTTGTTGCTTGCGTTTTGCCTTCAACAATTCGGAATGTTGTAACTAATCAGCGCCACCAACAAAGCAATAAAGGCAACGACGACAATAACAACAACAAGAAAAACAATAAAATTATAAAACAAATTGTCACTTGTCAGAAGCTGCAAACGTTTAAGGGGCCGTGATAAGCTCTGTGCTGCTGTTATTGTGGAGTCTTCAGGGCGCTTTTGAAAAAAGGAAGTTTGCAGTGACGAAGCTGTCGCGCTTACATAGGCATCACGTCCATTTTGACATATTTATGCCAATTTGAACAGTTATAAATGTCACTTAAGTTGTTTGACAGCCCCTCGCCTTGTTCTGTTTTGTCAATGACAATTGTTGTGACAGATATCAGGAAAAATCATAGCTCTTCAAGGCATACGAATAAACTTATAAGTACATTTTTGAAAACTAACAACAATTCGGCAAAAAATTAATTTGATGATCCAACAAGCTTTTGTCTTCTTCTTAACCGTTAAAGTATATTTTTAGAGGTCCAGATACACAAATTTATCTAATATGCTTGTCAAAAAAGTCTTGCGGTATTTTCGCTAGTTGGCGCTGAGAACGCGTAGTTCTAGTTTTATTCGTCGCATCGGGTCAACCTATACCTTTTTGGAAAGCTCATTTCACGCGCTAACACGTGTTTGATTGATTGTCGTTTCTTTTAAATAGTTCGAGCGTTGTAGCGACGCAAACATGGAGCAAAATAAAGAGAAAATACGGCATATTTTACAGTACTACTACGATAAAGGTAAAACTGTATCTCAAGCCGTCAATAAAATTTGTGCAGTTTATGGACCCGATACAGTTTCCATTTCCGCCGCACAACGATGGTTTCAACGTTTTCGTTCTGGTGTAGAGGTGGTCGAAGATACGCCACGCTCCGGAAGGCTTGTCGTCGAAAATTGCGATAAAATCGCTGAATTGGTCGAAAGAGACCAGCATAGTAACAGCCGTAGCATCGGTCAAGAACTGGGCATGAGTAATCAAAAAAAAGTTTATGAACAATTGAAAATTCAATAAAAATACCGCAAGACTTTTTTGACATCCTAATATAATAACATGTATTGAGGTATAAACACCCTAAATTTTCTAGGAATTTCTTATTCAATACTTCAATGCCGGCAAGTTCATTTAATAATGGCATTAGCTCAGCCTCAATATGAAGCCGCATAAAGAAATGCAAGGACATTATAGAAAGGAAGTTTTCCAGTGGCGGATCATTACATATAGAAACAGTACCGAACAAAAGCAAGCCATTTCATCAAAAAAAAAAAAAAAACAAAAAACAAAACAACAGTTTTGTCTGGTTTATTTCTCTTCCATTCAGGTCTTCAATTAAAGTCAGTTCTTGCTTCGTATATTCAAGAAAGGTCCTCATTTCTAACACCCTTATCATATCTTTGTCAACAGTCATAAGATCGAAGTTGCAGCCATATATCTTGGAACAATTTTCACCCTGAAATTGGAAGTTGGAAAAAATGGTGCATCTGTAGAGGCATTTCAAAAGATAACCTTTTTGTATCGTTAAAGACGGTAAAACGAACTGTACTGACTTTGTATAACTAGTGATCAGTAAGGAAATGAAGAAAGGAATTTTGTATTCTGGCAGCACCAAGTTCAGCAGTAGTTGGCCTCACCTTCTATGTTTTCGTGCTTGGCCACTTTGTTCAATGAAATACGCCTAGCGGATCCTAACTAGATCTACCAAAATTGCTTATTTTGTCTCCGTCTCTAATTCTCACAGCGTTGGATTATGAAAAGCGACACTAATAGACTCTCGGTGGTAAATTTGATTAAAAACATCTGGTTATTCAGTCATATAGCAATGGAAAGAAACGAAGAGGCAAATAATGTAGTCCGCTGAGGGGCAATATGGATAACAATGGACTCTAGAGGATTATCTCAAGTCCTGGAACACTAACAACACAAGTAAGTCAGAAGGAAACCAAGTAACATGATAAAGGTCATCACAGGGTACTTATCTCTAAGGTGTTATATTTACAAAATTGATAAAATGGTATCGGTGGAATGCAGAACATAAGTGAAGGATGATAAGACGTTGGAATATTAACTTTGCGAATGCCTAGCTTTAAATCGGTTGAGACGGATATCTTTCAATGTTTGATAAGTTCGAATTGGTTATCATATGGAAGCCCAATGGGCCTAATGACGGCCTAAGTGTGGTCACCTGCAGTCTGAAATCTTTTTTTAACCAACCAACCAATAAAATACCTAGACCCGTTTTAACCCTACTCGTACCCTGAACCCTGAGAAATAAAGTTCACCACGATGTTTGTAACACCCAAAAGRAAACGTCAGAGACCTTTAAMATGTATATAAWTGATYAGCGTGATGMGCTRAGTCGATTTAGCCGAATCCGTCTCTCCATCTGTCGTACATCTGATTATTTTATGGTAGCTAGTCCCTCAATTTAGATAAATCGTCTTGAACTTTTGCTCACATTCTTTTTTCAGCACTGTTCAATTTCGTCGTTCAATTTCGTCTATCCTGGAACCTGTATTAACAGCAACAACAATGTCAGCTTCGAAAACCAACACAGAATAACTCTTGCCAACAGGTGCTACTTCGGACTGAATAGACAATTGAGAAGTAAAGTTCTCTCTCGACGAACAAAAACCAAATTCTACAAGCTACTCATTATTCTCTTCCTCCAAAAATATATTTTTATATCATTTTATGCTAAAAGAATACACCTGTGAAGTATATTAAAGTTAAAGTTTTTTCTTTTCTTTGACTAATTTTTAGACAGAATAGGCGAGGATAAGTGAGAATAATATTTTTAAGATATGTATCCGACTTTGCTTTACATTTTATGCTTTCTTTTGAAATTTTTAATTTTGCATTCTCTAATGCTGTGCCACTTGAAGCAAGACGATGCGCCTGCCAGTTGCACGCGCATAATGCACACGTCAGTATTTAAAACCCAGAAAAGGTGCTTCGCTAGACACTAGACATTCAGTGCACATGCATATATCTAGCTACACCCATAGATGCTGCTGCACAAAAGATACGTAATATGTTTGATAGAAGTGTCACATTGTTTTCTATTTAACTCACCTTTTGTCGTCGACGAGTATTTAAAATGTGTTGCGTTGCATTTTATTCGCTTTTGATACGCTTGCTGATCTTGCGGTTTCATGGTTTTAGTTATGGACATGCGCGCTTATTACGACGATTGTAGCTTTACGACTAAACAAGGAGAAATCATAGCAAATAAGAGGAAAAATGTAGCGAGAAAACGAGAAAAATAGGAAAAAACGCGCAACCAAAGGTATTTTGAAATCTAAGATTTGTGAGATGTGCATGTGTTTGTAGGTGTGTGCGTCTGTCTGTT